CGGATTACATTCACTGTCGGAGTGTTACATAATTGCAGTGAGTAATTTGTCAACGCCATCTTGGAATCGTCCCATCAAATTTCTCTATTGACCCAGACTCATGAGAGTTCACATTTCCTAAAATTCTCAATAGAATTGGAGGAAATAATCGATGAGATGGCGGATGCCAAGAACTCCAATCCGGACAACTTCAAAGGTTGGCTGTACAAATGGACCAACTACATCAAGGGATACCAGCGTCGCTGGTTCGTGCTTTCCAATGGTCTGCTGTCGTACTACCGGTGAGTTGTGAACATGTTCCACGTTGACTGCTTGATGCGAAGTAATGGCATCGTTCTTTCGAAAAAAAGAGTAATTTGCAAATGAAATAGCGGCACGTTTTTGTTTTGTGTTGGGCATTATTTGGGTAGATGTTATCTAGTCTGTCCACTCACAGTTGTCGTGCTATTGCAGTTGGGACACCTCATCATGGAAACTACATTTTTATGATGAAGGGTGTATGTACAGCGTCGACGAGTAGCAGCTGTTCTTAAAATTACGTCACCGGGCCTGATCGTAGATATAGTTATGTTGGCCCATCCCACCTCAAATATGTCTTTTCTCATTGTAAAATAAACATAGACTAGTAAGTATTCTAATTTATAAAATTGTTTGAATTATTTAATTTTGTCGCATCCATTTTTCAGAATTCTGTTTTTTGCTAAAGGATTTGCTATTTTTACCAGTGTAAACCGCTTGTGTGCCAGGGTACCATTTGTTTACAATAATCTCTGTGGTACTGTACTAGCAGTTATTTTAGTACCGGTAATTGAAAATATTTACAGTGCAGTATTGAGAGTTGATGTGACCAAATCACATCAGGCATGATGTACATATACCGATGAGTTTTATAGTAAATCATGTTTTTTTTTTATCTAGATATATTTAAAGATTTATTTAATCAAAATTTGTGGTATTATCTCAATTATATTCCAGTTTGTTTTCCAGTTTACATGTAGTGTCGCTTAATCATAAAATGCTTAATTCTGCTTGGTATGCTCTTGTACTCACCATTGCAGTCAATCAACCCGCAGTAAATTCTCATTCAAAAGTACTGTTAACTTTCACGGCCACAAATTTGATTTGTCATTCGTGTTTGCTGAAACTAATTTTCATGAAAGAAAACACCAGTGATAGACTACCTTTACAAGGCACTGACAAGATTTTCATAGCCTTCTCACTCCATTATGTATTAAATGGCAGAATTTAACTGTACCAATCGATAAATCTCGCCTGTCAGCAAGTCGCAGCGTACAGTCATGTTCAGTGCTATATGTATATGTGACATTCAGACACTATACACCTTCTTAGAAACGAGCATTCCACAGATGCAATCCCAATGCATTATATATTTGTGGCTTTGCATTAAATAGCATTTGTTACAAACAATGTCTCTGAGCATTACGTAACATGTATAATTATTCAGGATTTCATGTTCGATTTGGCCAATAAAGAACCAAATTAGTGATGGATATTGTGTTGTGGCATTGAAATTATTTCACAAGGGATTTGGTGAGGCAGCCACTGAAAAGTAGCAGCATAACACACTTGGGTGAATTTATCATTATCGTCTGCGCATGTTGTCCATATTTGATCAGTTTATTATTTTTACGTTTGTTGTTGTTTCAAGCCGTTGTTGATGTTTCCTTTTCAAAGTTCAATAAATGTCAATCCTGACATGAGACTTTCCGACTTCGTGAATTGTTCCGACCTATAGAGTACAGTGGCTATACTTCGAGCCAAATCACAGCCACATATTGATAGAGCAGAGTTGTTCATATTGGTGATGGTCCATCGTATTCGTATATCCTCAGTCTGTCAACAATTACATTATCTCCTTGAAAACTAGCAGTGCAATTGCTTTGATACTTGGTATATTCATGTAGGTACCTTGGGTGGACGTCTGATTTGTCCATGTTGTGATAATATCATTAATTCTCTATATTTTTTTTCTTGAATATTTTTGTAATTTTTACTTTTACTTAAAAACTACTAGCCCAGTTGCTTTGATATTTGACTTTTGTGAAAAAATTTGGAATATTTGTTGTTATTTTTGGAAGAAAATTATATTTTGTTGGTGGTAGAAAGACATAAGCTCATCAAATATTTCATCTCATACATGTAGCTGTGCTATAAATTGGATATGAATGATTTAGGTGATGTAGTTAGCTGAGCATCTTCTTAACAACCAGTGCCTAACTACTTTCTTTTTGGTGAACTGTATTATAATCCTCTTGTGGCTATTATTTGGTTTTACTACACTGTACGTTCTTGTTGTACAGCAAAGCTATTTTGATCGTCAGGTCGTTCGTTAGTAAGATCTTACTAGTATAATCATGAGAAATTTTATTATACTCTAGTTACAGCAGTGTGTTCATGGAGCTCGGCTTCTACTAACCCTTCATCAGTCACCTACAGAGAATTACTTTTATAGATGGCTAATACAATTGTTACTTTCACCACTAAAGGCAAATTACAAACCATCAATTACACTGAAGGGCACAAAGCTGGGGCTTTGCTTATGAACATTATGTAAATAATTGTAAAATACCAATTATCAGCTTTCATTCAAATATTTTATATTGATTGGCTCAAGAGCTAAACATTGTCTACGTCCAAAATGCACATACGGTACATGACTTCATGCGACATAACTATGACCAACCATTTATTCAAAATAAAAATGATGCTTGCTGATTGGATAATGTGGAACTTATTAATATTAATTATAATTAACGACAATGTCACACTATTTTCATTTTGAATTCTAACATCCATTTTGATTTATAAAAATGTACATTTATACACAGTCCCTCTATCTATATGATATATACCGTGTTTATATGATAGAGTGACTGTGATTTATACAATGTTTATAATGACCCCAGCTTTATGTCTTTTATTGTATTCTAAGAAAATGGTCAACATGTCATCGCTCACAGAAAGGTTAATTTAAACATCAGGAACTTTTTGTTTAACTTTTTGACCACGCAACTAAACTTTTGTCAGAGTTCACATAAACATGCAGTTTTTTTAAATATTTTTCAAAAGTTTTCAAATTAACCAAGACCCAAGAAGTTTACGAAAAATACATAAAACTGTTCTCTTAGTTAAAAAAAAATTATGGCTTTCAAGGTGTTACATTAACGTATTTCAATTTGCTACAAGAAAAATATTGCAATCTTTCATCTTTGTATCTTCTCTGTTTGCTAAGTGGCTAAACAAGTTGCTAATTATCAGGGAAGAACAGTGTTTTATTAGCTGCTGTGGCTAAACATGTTCTACCCTCTGTGAAAGTCCAATAGAGTTCAATAGTATGATGTACCCTCAAGGTTTAATGAGCACTGAGAGCGTTATCTATAACATACCCTATTATCACATTCATACATGTAGACGATCACTAGAGTTCTTTAGGGCATTGTACTCCTGACCCTTCCACCACTCTGTTCTGGTTTTTAAAATCACCTGATTTTAACTCGTGGTTCCATTCTACAGTTGTACACTGCAAATAATTAATATGTTATCATTGCTGAGCTAGCTGTCTTCCATGTGTCATTCACTGTTATCATCAAAGACTGCTGTAATAGGGAGGGTATAGTATCAAAACTGCAAATTTCTTTATTAGAAGTAAATCTCCAGTACAAGTGCACATAAACCAAAAATTGCATTTCTCAGATAAATAATATAACTTTAATTTGTTGATGCACCTCTGTCAATTACGTAAACACATGAACTATTAATATATTAATAGAGAAAATATGGTATTCTATGCTGGATCATTAAAAATTATAACATGAGCAATTCAGTTATTCTGATGAATAAAACTAATGCAGCATTCTGATAAATAAGTCATCTTTTTTTGTTAGTTAAAATTAGCTCCGAGATACTATGTAGTTAATATAACAATTCACATACTATTATGTTTATTAAAAGATATTTTTTGTCTGTTGTTGTTGCATACAAATAATTTAGCCAAATTGAAAACAAATCTCTTAACTGTTTTAATGTTTTCAATTTGTTCATATCCTGCTGTAGTAAGGAATTCCATAAATGCCATTTATTCAGAATTGTATCAATTGCATTAAATAATATGTATTTGTTACCCTGTCTGGTCTTAATACTATAGCAATTAGAAATTATAAAATTGTAAATATTTTTTTTTTCAAAAATGTAAATCATGCAATTGATTTTGGTATATACATGTACATGTATCTATGTTTTGAATGATGGACAGTTATTTTCGATATTAAGGAATTCTCTTCATTTGTCTGCAAATTTTCAAAAAGTAAAGATATATTTTATATAATATGGGGGTAGCAGTTTTTAATATTTCCATCCGATTGTTTTAGGCCTGCCAACTGTTGATTTCATATAATCCTCTTCACACGACTACAACTGTAGACCAGAATATGTTTCCCAGGCATTTATTCTCATGCATGAGATACCCGAGGTTAATTTTGTGGTAGATTTTTAGCAGGCCTGAAAATACTTACAGCTGTGCTGCTATCCTTATTGTTCCCATGAATATTATAAGAGGGCGCTCTTTTTTGCCTGCCCTGGTATCATGCCATTGAACAGAGGACATTCAGATAACAATAGAGTTTTGTTATGTTAATTATCTACCATTGTGCTATCCTGGGCTACACACAGCTATGTGGTCGTAATTAGTGTGTACACAGTGGTACTTTTCTTCAGTGAAAATAAAGTGTTCCACAATACATGATATGCGACACTACCTCCAGATAATTAACCTCAGCATATCAATTTATCCACCTTTTGATATTCCATTGATAATGTCAATGTTTTCTAGCTCCAAGGTGCATCCCCTTTTCATGTTGAAGACATTCAGTACACTGTAGACTCTAATCACATTTCTTTTTTTGAACAACCTCAAAATGAACCAAATATCTTTGAGGCAATGCTTGTTATGGACACCTTTTGACCACTCGTGGAATGTCAGGCAGGAACGACTGTCAGGACAATTGCTTTTCATTAATGCTGCATGCAGAAAACAGCATGAACAGTGACGTAGATTTTTAAGTAAAAAATTCATAATGCGTTTTGAACTATCCACCATATTAAACTTAGTTTAAATGTCACTATAATGATTTTTCTAATAATATGAGCCTGAGTGTCAATCGACGTGCAGCGGCAGCATAACCTTATTATTATACATCTTTTCTATCCAAGGATACGTAATGGGAATCAGCGAACTTCTTTGTGTGGAGTCCGGTCAAATCCT